ACTGTTGGGTCATCTCCTGGTCCATGTATAACCAAAACAATCGATAAAAGATGTTAGCTGAAGGCTAACAGGATAAAGAATCTGTAACGTCGACAGTTCTTACCCTTTTTTCCGTCAGTATGACATCTTATTCTTTTTCTACATCCTCTCTATCTTTTTTTACGCCCCGCCTTCGTCTTTTTTATGTCCTCTCTCTACATTTTTCTATATCCTCTCTTCATCTTTTCTACATCCTCTCTTTTCCTTTCTATACATCCTGTCTCCATCTTTTTCTTATGCTTTCTTCATCTGTTGAGTTTTGTTTCCTGTCATTTATGTCATTTAATTTTAACAGGTCTCAGTCCGGTGTGTAAAATCTGAAGCGTGCTCAGAACAATCAGGCTTTCAGTCTGATTAGTCTGTGTACGTGGAGGAGAAAATTGACCCTTAACCTCTTTATCCAGGTGTGTCAGTCTGACTGTGAGATGTTTGATGCGATTTTATTTGGATTAACGTTTTAACATGTTTTTAATCTCCAGTTTCAAACAGAATAAACCAATAAATGCATTTTTGTTACTATTTTAATGTACTGTCTGTCAAGTTCTTGTCCCTCATGGTGTGAATTATTCCCTGTCTGGGTGAGGAGGGGTGAGTTTCTGGAGTCACATAAGGCCTGAATAAGTTAAATCTACAGTTTTTCTGTCTCTTAACTCCCTTTGATTATAGCTTGATCATTGTGCTTTTCATTTGTTTCAAATATTCAGAAATTTTTTTCCCCTCATATTCAGTCATTTTCTGTTGAACTTTGATTTCTTTTCCATCACTCTGCCTCCCCCTGACTCCAACTCTCTCTGTTTTAAGCCCATCCTTTCTCTCCATCCGTTATCCCTGTCTCACCCCCTCTCTCAGTTTGAGTCTCATCAGTGGAGTTTCATTGATGTTTTCCTGGACGCCCTCTCTTTTCACCAAGGTCCTTCCTCCCCCTCCTCCCCCTCTGTGAGATCAGAGTGATCAGCGAACAGACTGATTGTAGAAAAACAGGATTGAGTTTATTTCAGAAAAACAGCAGAGAGACTTTATCAGCTGAGGCTGATTGAAGAGCTGAACGTCCTCATGTTTTATTATATTTCACTCTGGAGGGGATCAGCTGATTAAAAACTTCTTTAACTTTGAACCACAGAGGAGCGAGATGCCAACTTTACTGCTGTTTGTCTGTGTGTGTGTCCGTGTGTGTGTGTATGTGTTTGTGAATCAGTGTGTGTTTACTGCATTGCAGGAGATCGGTGTGTGCTGCTGTGGGGGTGTTTAGCCTCCTGATGTGAGTGCCTCCTCTGGTGGAGAGCAGACGTTTAAATCTGCTCTGAGATTTTCAGAAACAAACTTTAAAGTGTCCTCTGTGTCTCTCTGTGTCTACACCTGCCGTCAGAGTCTGACTGTCACTCTGTCTGTCTGCAGACTGATGAAGGTAAATGAAGCTCCTTAAGTCTGAATAAAACATCAGCTGTTTGTTCTCTAATAATGCTACAGTGAGCCGCTGAACTTCCTGTTGACTGTTACTGTCACTTTCTCACACTGAAGTAAACAAACAAACAAATAGGATTAGTCTGTCAGGGCCAGGTTTAGTCGGAGCGATGACGGAGTTCAGACCTGCAGACTCATCATTTCAGGAAGATTTCAGGAGTATGAACATGAGTCAAAATATCTTCATTTCATTCATTCATAAACATTCAGTCCATTCATCCATCCTATTTACTCATACAAATATTCATGCATTCATTCATTGCACTAGAGACCAAAATGTCTCAGTCAAACTGGTTTGCTATTATTTACAAATACAACAAACACACACAGTCTCTCACACCTACACACACCGACACACACAGAGACACATACACATTCAATGATGCGATGAAACTGTTATGACAGCTCCTGTTTTAGTTTCTGTGAAAGTTTAACTCAACTGGCCCACATCCTCCTGCTTATTGTGTGTATTGTGCGTGTGCGTGTGTGTGTGTGTGATGCTGACAGAGCCCTTTCCTATTATAGATGCGCCCCTGAGTAGCCAGCCCTTTTCTGGGCCGGAGCGCAAGAAAGCAGAGGACAGACCACGATACAAACACACACACACACACACCTGCTTTACAAAACACACACATGTATATACACACTGGAACATATTACAATGCACACATGCGTGTATATACCTGATGTGTGTCCTGTTGCATGTAGAAGGAAGATCCTGATCGATTGTGAAACACACACACACACACACACACACACACACACACACACACACACACACACACACACACACACACACACACACACACACACACACACACACACACACACACAGTCAGAGGAACAGCAGGGCTTCTCTCCTCCACATTAAGCAGAGCTGGAGTCTGTTGGTTCTGCTGGGCTCCATGTTCTGTAATTAGCAGTAATAACTCAGCTCTGCTCTGTTTACTAGGGGGTAATGAGGATATCATGACAGGTATTAACCCAATTATCAGGAGAGTTACGGCCCCTCCCCCTGAGAGAGCGCTGCACGGTGAGACAGGAACCATTAGTGTTAGATAACAGAGCTCATTAACACAGCCTGGATCTGACCACCTCACGCTCTTCAGGAGTTTAACCTGGTCTTAACTCACCATGTTCACTCCAGACTGAACACAGACACTCTTTTGGAATTCATGTTAGATTCATGAGTCTGCCAAGCCTTAGAGAAACCCTGACATCCAGAACAGACACACAGTGACTCTGCTGCCCCACAGGATCCTGGAAACTGATATTTATTTCTACTGACATTCATTTTGGAAATCATGGACTCTGCATCCTCCTCTCTACAATCCTCCTCATCCACCCAGCTTGTTCTCAGCTCCCAGTTCGAAGCCAGCCTCCCTGATGGTATGGGGATCACCAGAGTCCATGTCATGGGTAGCTTCCACATCTGTGAAGGCTCCATTATGGCTGTACAATATAAACAGGTTTAGGAGCAACATCTACTTCCATCCAGACAAAGACTTTTTCAGTGAAGACCTTCATATTTCAGCAAGACAATGACAAACCACATTTTTTGAGTGAGTTAACTATCAGTGAAGTCAGTTTTTTTGGAGGGGGTGGTGCTATAGAGGCCGGGGTCAGTCCTCTCACAAAGCAGGAGCAGTCCTGATTGACAGGTGGCCATGGTCACCTTCACCTGTGGTCTCAGAATAAGTGATAAAGGTGTGCTCACACAGACAGAAAGTCAGCCGCTGTATTGATTATCAATCAGCTGAGGGTGTCTGTCTTTATTATTGTCAAACAGAGTGAAACTGTAACTCCACTAGACTGATGATCATCCTGAAGACACAGAGAAAGAGCTGATCATTCCTCACTGTGTCTCCTCTCCTTGTCTCCTCACTGCCTCCTCTCAATGTGTCCTCACTGTGCCCCCTCTTTATGTCTCCTCTCTGTGTCTCTTTATTACGTCTATTCACTGTGTCTATCTCAGGTTAACCTCTGCCTCCATGCCCCGCCCCCTGGCTAGTAGGGGTGGGAATCACTAGTGGCCGACAATATCACGATACTTGGGCCACAATACAATATAGTGCGATTTATACATTTTAGCATTTGTGTTTCCTTTATGTTTGTCTTATTTACACTGTATTTTATTTTCATGTAGCACATCTTGCAAACCTTATATATTTCTTGAACTAACTTTCTCCTGCTCTATGATGTCACCTCTGCCAACCTCACTGGACAAGCAGTTGATTCTATTTTCCATTATCATAGATTTAATACTTGGAAAATGAGACGATACGATATATCACCAGACAAAATATCGCGATACTATGTTGTATCGATTATTTTCTCCCACCCCTACTGGCTGGAGGTCCCTCCTCCATACAGCAGCGGCCTGTTAGGGTTAATTAATAAAGTATAAATGAGTTGTCTCTCTTTAAGGACTGAGATAAGGAGAATGAGACATTGACAGGATGTGGAGACACAGACTGATGTTTGAAAAGACGGCTCCGTGTTGGATTCTGTTATCTGAATCGTCTGCAGACAGGTAGATAGAGGACACACTCTGTATGTTACAAGATCACACCCTGCAGAGACAGACTGATATTACTGCTCAAACACATGTTGTTAGACACTTTACAGCACACTACAATAATCACACTAATGCAAATTTTTTTTGTCACAGAGGGTCCCCTCCAGGGGTCTGAGGAGGATTCTCTCCTCTAAAAGCCTGCTCAAATCACATTATCCCTCACCTGGTTTTAATGTTTTATTTCTCCTTGAAGTTACATTTCTTTGACACTTTTATAATATTGCTCTTAATATCAGAGCAGCATCAGTGCCAACCCATGTACATCTGGTAAAATCAGACACAGCATAAAAAGGAGGAGCTTGGGTGGAGGCAGGGAGAGCAACAGCAAAGTGGTTTACAGAAGGAGCAGGAAGACTAGACAGGCTGGAGACATTTAAACAGAAGGAACATTTTAACACTTGTTGAATGGATTGTAGGAAGTAATCAGCTGATATGGTCTGGAGCAAAGATCAGCTGATGTAGTGTGGGCGGAGCTAGTCTTTATAGTTTGCCTGAACTAGCACCATGCTATATATGTTGCTAATTCTGCAGCTCTGCATGGAAATTTCTAGAACTTTTCTGTAGTATGATGGAAAACAGATGTGAAACCAACTGAATAGAAGTTGCATAAACATGACCGGCTCACATCCAGCTGGAGTATGACTTTTTTAGTTGTTAACCTGCCTAAAGGAGTAAAGAGACCTGTAACTGTGTTAACATGACCACCTTTAAGGTAAATAAAGAAATCCCTGAGATGTCTCTGTTTAGACTGAAGTGATGGATGTATTAACATTGATTTTCTCTCTCTGGTTTATGATCCGGTTTATGATCCAGTCCAGGAACTTGTCCATTAACCCACCTTTTGCTCTGTGTTTGAATAAACCTGGTGTGTTTCATGAACAGGTAAAGCACATTAAGATGACAGCTGCTACCTCAGACTGACCTGTCAGTGGGGGCATGTCCTGGTTAGATGGATATCCCTGTTGGTCCTGCAGCAGAGAGGGGGCTGTATGGTAATGATCTGGTCTCTGATGGATCTGGTCCCTGATGGTCTCTGCGATCCACTTCTCTGTGTGGCTGGTCTGCAGGAGCATCCAGGTGCTCGCTGTCATTGATTAGAGTGACTGCTGTACTCTCAGCAGAGTGGTGCTCAGTGTGTGAGTGTGTACAGGTGTGTGTGTGTGTGTGTACATGTTAAGTGTCAGTCTGAAATAAACAGAGTCCATTAACACATGTCTTTTTGTAAAGGTGAGCCTCTGCTGACTCAGCTCCTGGACCAGGAGGGAGAGATTCTGAAGGACGGCCATCGCAATACAGTCCCCCTCTGCAACTCCCAACCCCTGGAGTGAAGGATTGTGGGATTGGCACTTTACCCCGGCCCTGCCCCCTCTCAAATAAGAACCAAAGAGAGCAGAGACTAAAATGCTGATTGGAGGAATGAGGAGGAAACCACATCAGGGTCAAGGAGAGAAGAACAAGAGAGAGTAATGATTTAGAGAGGAGTGGGGGGCAAGGAAATGAAAGGATGAGAGTCACAGAGAGCAGAGGAGAGGAAACAGACAGAGATGGATGAGTGTGTAAAAGAGAGAACACACAGAGTGATCTATTTTAGCACAAACACCATCATGTTTTACAGTGAAAGGGGGAGATGCAGTGGGGAAGAACCCTGGATCACCCAGATAAGTCTCTAAACACTCAGCTTGTCCAGAACACTGCAGATCAAGTTCAGACTGAAACCAGGACGAAAAGGCTCATATCTCCTGTGTCAGCATCTCTACAGTGCCTCACACAACACAGGATAGAATTTAACATCATTCTACAGAAATACAGACTCGTTCACATCCAGATACAATCAGATCTTAGAGTGATTTAAGTGCCATACTACCCCTCTGAACTTCATATGTGCAGGCATGTTACTCAGACTGTTATAGGCTCAGATTGTTATAAACTAGACTTAGACTCAGTCATTCTCCAAGTGAATTCAGAATTTTGCTACTGACCTCTCACAAGCAAAGAACAGCCATGTGAGAACAGCCCAGATAAGTTGCAGCAGCAGATTTTGGTGGTTTTAAAGACAGATGATTTTGTAAAAAAAAAAGGACTCAAGGAAAAAAAAATCTGTGAAAAAAACATTGGGTCCAGGTTTGCAGATTAAATTTTATTTGCAGCTATTATTATAGTAATATTTTCTGAAATAAAAATATTCACATCCAGGTTTAAGATTTTTCTGCTAGCTGTCAGATATTTTTTCTTTTGTACCCTCAAACTTTGCTCACGTGTTTATAACAAGCGAACATTGTTCAATTGTTCAATTTACTCAATCAAATTAAATTTAAGTTTTCATAAAGAATGTTGCAAATTTTGCTGCATACCCCCCCCCCCCAAACAAAAAACAAAACAAAACAAAAAACACACACAGAGTGCGTAAGGTGGTAAGATGACTTTTCTGCCATTTTTCACACTGCCACCCCCTCAGTCTCTCCCCACTCTCTTTTTTCTTCTCTCTCTTTCTCTTCTCTTCACTGTGTTCTCTCTCTCTCTTTCTCGCTTGTTTAGTTAGCTCTGTGATTTATTCTCTGAGACCTCTCCTTTCCCCTCCTGTCCTCTGACTCTGTAGTTCTGGTTCTCAGCAGTGTTTCTTTGTGCTGAGCAGATCCTAAAACCCTGACTCTTTTTCATCCGTTACAGTGCCTCTCTCACCCTCAGAAAGAGAGAGAAGCCAATGGGGGGGGACCTAGCTCTCACTCTGTGACCTGAAGACAGGAGGATCAGACCTGCAGCTGAACACCTAAATCCTCGAACATGAAGAACACACACTCACACAGCCGTAACACACCCCACTATGTATGCATTTGTGTGTGTAGATTTCATGTTTGTTTCTGTTTTTATACATATGGAACACGGAGCATCTTATTAAAGTATGCTTTAGGTTTCACTCATATTGAAATACAGTGTGAGTGAAACAGTATGCCCCAAAGCATCTGTAAACATCTCCAATCACACTAGACTTTATTTTTCTACAGTATTTTCAAGAAGTCCTCTAACTTTCTATGCTTTTTGCGAGGGTTAGAGCGCATCTATCACTTTATTCAGGCAGTCTGAGAGACTTAAAACCAAGTTATTTAGAGGGATTATGGAGAGGGCTTTGAGGAAATATTTGATGCACATACCCTCAAGTAAAGTGAGCCTTGGCCGACCTGTTCACAGATGTGTTTGGCACAGTGGCTGGGCTACTGCAGGTGAGGACAGCATTTGCAAAAGTGTGCCTATTAGTTTTTCTTTCTCAAAGTGGATTTGGGTATTTGGCAGCCTAAGTATTCATGAAACCCTCACTAAAATAGAACTTCAGATGCCAAGTCTTCCTCAGTTTAAGGTGGGCTGTTGGCTAATGCTTCCTGGTATCCTTTACTACAGCAATGTGTGACTATTTGTAGCAACTTTGATATGATTTCATTCTCCTGCGAAAATGACTCAGGCAGTTTTTTTTTTCTTAAAAAAATTAATCTTTTATAAGAAAAAAAAAAACTAAATCTTTATTAAAAATAATAATAATCTTTTAATTTCTTTAGATAATCTTTTACTGTGAAATGTGTCAGTCACTGTGGATATTCACTGTGGATAAAGTAACTGAAGCTGTTTGTCCACTGACTTCCTCAGAGAACGTACCGGCAGATCAACCTATCAGAAACCCTCCACAGGAGCTTCAATGGTCCATTTGATAGATTATTTCAAATATCTGCTGCACTTTCGTGAACCATAACAAAACACTGAGAGAGAGGAGGCAGCTTCACACAGCGGAAGAGTGACTTAACCCAGACTCAAAAGGTGATAACTTAAGAAGAAAGACAGGTAGAGAGGAAAACAGTAAAATAAGAACTCTGTCAGAGCTGGTGTATATGATGATTATAGATACAGCAGGTGTGCATGATGAGTGTAAACAGAGGAAATTCATATGATGACTATTAATACAGCAGTTGTATATAATAACTGTAAATGAACAAGGGGAATATAATAAATGTAAACAGAGCCGTAGTATATGGTAACTCTAGACCAGGGGTCGGCAACCCGCGGCTCTGGAGCCGCATGCGGCTCTTTCTTCCCTAAGCTGCGGCTCCCAGTGGATTTGGAAAATAAATAATAAATACTTAATTGCATTCTAATTTATTTTATTATAATTATTATTTTTTTTTGTAATTCTAAATTCAAAGATTATAATGCTCTTGTAACATTAAATAAACTATTAAGGCTGCAACAACGAATCGATTAAGTAGATTCGTCGTGACGAAAAAATCCGTTGCCAACAAATTCTGTAATCGATTCGTCGGGTCTTTATATATGTCCATGGACACCGGCGTGTAAACATCAGCAGGACGCACAGAAAAGAAACAGCCATGGCCGAGGCAGCGGCTGAGAAAAACATGGACACAACCCAACCCAAATCCCGACCTAAAACATCAGTGGTGTGGGAAAACTTCACCAAGACTGAAAAGGAAGGCGTTCAGTGCAACATTTGCAAAGACCGTTTTGCATGGCTCGGGAGTACATCGATGATGCGTGAGCACAGGGCTCTCAAGTCTCACGCATTCAGCGTATGACACACGCATTCCCACTCGTTCACACGCTCACACACCACACATTGTATTTCTCACGCATTTAAATGAACATGGTGATGTCCACCAAGTTGCACTTCTTCAACTTTGGAACTGGGGGAAATCAACTGAGTTCCTCCGAGAGTTCAGAAGCTGCGTGCCACACACAAGCCAATCAAATAAAGTATATCTACTGAACAGCCAATCAAAAAGCAGCATTGCTGTATCCGGGTAGATTTTGATATCTTGCGGTTTAACTACAGAAGAAGACAGACACTCGCCGAAATAGTTCATTTATTTCATAAATGCAACTCGCTACAGTTTTTTATATACTTTGTATAAAGGTAAAAAAAAAGATATATGCAATGTTATCTTCATTTTAGATGTCAAAGAGGTTTTGTGGCTCCCTGTGTTTTCTTTTCTGTGGGAAACTGGTCCAAGTGGCTCTTTGAGTGTTTAAGGTTGCCGACCCCTGGTCTAGACAGAGCAGGTGTATATAATAACTGTAAACACAGAAGCTGTATATGATAACTGTAAACAGAGCAGGTGTATCTCATGACTGTAAACAGAGCAGGTGTAAATGATGGCTGTAAATAGAGCAGGTGTAAATGATGGCTGTAAATAGAGCAGGTGTAAATGATGATTGTAAATAGAGTAGGTGTAAATGGTGGCTGTAAATAGAGCAGGTGTATCTCATGACTGTAAACAGAGCAGGTGTAAATGATGGCTGTAAATAGAGCAGGTGTAAATGATGGCTGTAAACAGAGCAGGTGTAAATGATGATTGTAAACAGAGCAGGTGTGTATGATAACTGTAAACAAAGCAGGTGTATCTCATGACTGTAAACAGAGCAGGTGTAAATCATGACTGTAAACAGAGCAGGTGTAAATGTTGGCTGTAAATAGAGCAGGTGTAGATGATGATTGTAAACAGAGCAGGTCCATACAATGGCTGTAAATAGAGCTGGAATAGTATACACTGACTTAACATAATTCCAGGCTGCAGGACATGAATCAGGTGTTTTTCACCTGTCTGTAGACACTCCCCTGAGTGTGTGACCTCTGACCTTGGGGATAAAGCTGCAGAGGAAGCTGTGTACAGTGGGGTACTCTTCTTGTAGCCTCTGCAGCCTTTATTGCTGCCATATATCCCCATCCTTCAGGCTGCAGAGAGCTGCTGAATGCTGCTGATTCTGACTTTAGTGTCTGAAATGTTCCCGGTGTTCCTCGGGCTCAGCACAGTCTCTCTGCAGACTCTGATCTATGATCTGTGAAAGGCTTTAATCCTCTGCAGAGTTTCTCCTTTACTGCAGGAGGGACGCTCGGCTCCTCCTGCTGCTCCCTGAGGACAGACAGCAGTAAGAGTTAAACACCCCCGTGCTTGATCTGAGGAGCTGAGATTGTTAATTTTTATGCACTTAGTGACTCTCTTTGTTGGTTTGTATACAGCTGAAACAGTTTCTATCGGCAGAATCGTACATGAACACTATTTAACTTGAACAAACTGATCTCCTTAGACTAAAA